TAGGGAATAAAGGGAGACAGAGCACATGTCCTTGTTGAGCAAATTGGAAAGAATAGTTTTCACAAAGTCAATGCTCGATACATCTATAGTCATTCTCGATTCTCGTTCGAATATCCATATGGGTTTTGTTTCAATCTCGAATATTTAATTCATTTAATTGCTCAGAATGTGAATTTGAAGTCCTTTATCTCGGTTTTGATACCAAAAACCTCGACACTAATGACGTAAGACAGAGCTGAGTACCAATATTTGCCGAGGAAGAAACAAGATTATTTAAATCTGATACTAAATGTTAAATTGCCACTAAACCCAGAAAAACGTCGAGGCAGCTAATATCGTTCTCCGTTCTGTAAAGGGTAAATTTGAATTTTCACGTCATTTGGAGAGCACACATATTTCATAAATGTGATGTACTCATGTTGCATGTTTGGTTGGCATGTTTGGTTGGCATGTTTGGTTGGCATGTTTGGTTGGCATGTTTGGTTGGCTTGTTGATGAAGGTTTGATTATGACATTTATTCCATTTATTCCATTTTCAAAGGCTTAAAAAATAAAAAAACTATAATAATTCCTTTTATATTACATGGGTCGGACACGAAAACGGAACATTTCTTATAAGGGCGTGGAAATCTCTCTCTAGTAGATATATTCTAAAATCCGTGAGGTTGAACAATATCTGCTAGCGGTAGGTGGTGTGCTAGCGAGGACGCTGAGTGAATTGTGAGATTCCACGTTAGTTGGAGAGAGGAACCGAACGTTCTTTATAGATTTTTAATAGAGAAATCCAATAAAGATGCATGGATGTGTGTAATTTACATGGGAAGAAGATATTGCGTTGATGGTGGGACATCCATGTTTCTACGAACACTTACTTTTTTTCAACAACTTTGGATTTGATTTGAAATTAATTAATTAATTAAACCAACTAATCATGATTATTAACTAATGCTTCCTTGGTTTTGCTATAATTTTAAGATCTTCTCTTCGCAATTAACCATTCTTTTAAGGAATATGGTTTATTGACGGTTTGATTTGATAGCATAAACGTCAAAATTAATCTTTTTCGCTCGATCTCGATCAATATCTCTTTATGATCTTTATTTACGAAATGACTTGTCAAAGACTGTCAAAACCCACTTCGAAAAATCGTGAGGCTGACGATGATATGTAACGGACCAAAGCTGACAATATTTGCTAGCTGTGTGCTTGGGTTGTTACACAGTGGGAATGATACATGAATAAATCGATACCACATTCGAATGAGAGGGATCTTGAGGATAAGATAGTTAAGAAAGACTTTACGTGCACCTTCTTTTTTCGGTGGTTCAATTATAGTAACTTTATAGTTTTACGTGCTTTACTTAGAGTAATTTTATGTTGGGTGACCTGTTAAAAAATTTTCTGAGATGCATGTGAGTGAGAACAAAACATGTTGGAACGACTCGTGTTGGTCTGTGGAGATAGTTTTCACTCTTAAGAAACAAGGGGTAAGTAATGTGACCATGTCGCAGGAGATGCAAGGAGGAATGTCGAGGTCATCAGATACTGAATTCGGATTCCGAATCCTAATTCGAATTCTGGGTATGGATCGTTACATCCAAATTAGATAAGATTGTTAAACGCTCGAAGTATGTTTAATTTTAGGGTTCTTATAATTGATTCATTAGAAGAAAAAAAATGCCCATGTTGGTATAAACCGTAAATATCTCGGTTCATTTATGTGCTCCACCTCTACTCGAGCGTGAGCTGCCTAACAATTTTCATTTTAGTTCACCTTTAAACGACATCGTAAATAAATACCGTATTTTGTTATTATTATTAAATATTCATTAAATGATGACCAAAGAACATAATGTAATATTTGTTGCTATACGATAGTTTCATTAATGATTATATATCTTTGGTTGTCAATTATTTTTCAACATTTATTGAACAATGAATGAAGAACAAGAACATTTATTTTATTTATTGTAGAGAGAGAGAGAGGAGAGAGTGGGGGATGGGGGACACATAATTGTCCCCTCAATGTAATGGAATGTGAACACAAAGATGAAGATAAAGAGAGAAAATTAATTCTTCCGACAAAATATTATTATTCTCTTTTACCTCGTTATATATTGTATCAGTTTCACGGTTTTAAAACATGTTTGTTAAGAAGAGATTTTTACATCTTTATAAAAAATGTTTTGTTCTTTTCTCCGACGGATATTTAGATATCAGGTTTATGAGATGTACAGCTACGAATCTAGAGTAACCCATTTGATTTTATGTCCCGTGCATCCCAATCGTTATGGTGTGAACGTGGTAACTTCTTCCAATAATTTCTTAGAAAGTCGGGGGTGTAGCTAAGAGCTCAGGTGGAGAGTAGAAGTATGGAAGAAGCAAGCATGTGTTTGGTTTTGAGGGAATAATGGGGATTTTGCAGCGTAAGAAATAGTCCATTTTGGAGGTCCTATATCAGTTGGAGAGGAGAACGAAACATTCTTTAGGGTGTCGAAACCTCTCCTTATAGACGCGTTTTAAAATCATGAGGCTGATGATGATACGTAACGAGCTAAATTGAATAATATTTGTTAACGGTGAACTAGGAAACGAAGCATTCTTTAGGGTGTCGAAGACTCTTCTAACAGACACATTTAAGATTGTGAGGCTGACGACGATACGTAACGAGCTAAAGTGAACAATATATGTTAGCGGTGAACTGGAAAACGAAGCATTCTTTGGGTGTCGAAGACTCTCCTAATAGACGTGTTTTAACATCACGAGGCTGACGACGATACGTAACGAGCTAAAGTGAACAATATTTGTTAGCGGTGAACTGGGAGATGGAGCATTCTTTAGGGTGTCGAAGGCTCTCCTAACATGCATATTTTAAAATCGTGAGGCTGACAACGATACATAACAAGCTAAAACGAACAATATCTGTTAGCGGTGAACTGGGAAACGAAGCATTCTTTAGGGTGTCGAATACTCTCCTAACATGCATATTTTAAAATCGTGAGGCTGACAACGATACATAACAAGCTAAAACGAACAATATCTGTTAGCGGTGAACTGGGAAACGAAGCGTTCTTTAGGGTGTCGAAGACTCTCCTAACAGACACATTTTAAAATCGTGAGGCTAACAACGATACATAACAAGCTAAAGCGAACAATATCTGTTAGTAGTGAACTGGTAAACGAAGCATTCTTTCGGGTGTCGAAAACTCTCCTAACAAACACATTATAAAATCGTGAGACTGACAACGATACGTAACGAGCTAAAACGGACAATATCTACTAGCGGTGAGGCTGGACATGTACGTAAATACATAAAATATAAGGGGTTAAAAAAGGAAGAGAGAGGGGATGAAGGGCCTAAATGATGGGAGCATCCAAAAAGGAAAGGGTAAATATGCAAACCCATTCTCTTCCCTTAAAATCCACGTAGAGTAAGAGAGAGAAAGGGGGGAATGGTCAAATAGTGGTAGGGTCTCTTCTTTCCCAAAGGAGTAGGAACCTATTTAATGCCCACTAAATGCCCTTCATCCATTTTTACTATTTTTACTATTTTTACTATTTACCCCCTCCAACCTAAACTATTTCAATTCCATCCCTCTTTTCTTCTTTTTAATACACCCCTCAAAAGTAAAAAATTTCAAATTCCTTTTTACCCTACAAATAATTACCAACTAGGGTAGAAAAATCCAAAAAGGCTATTCTCATTTCCTTTTAAGGGATCGAAACCGTAACCCATCAGCTAAAGCTTTTGAATTCGCTCGAGATCGGAGAAAAAACAACACATAATCGAACGAACCGTAAATAATTCTCGCCCGATTCCGGGATTACCCATATCATAATTCATAGTAGAAAAAAGGGTTTTGAAGATCAAAGTAATAGTCAAAGGGTTAGTGAAATGTCGTATCAATGTACAGTTTATGTTCTTAGTGTTAGCCCTTGTGCCTACCTTTTATTGCCCATCTCTGTCTACAAAAGCTGCCATGAGTATCTATTCCACTGCAAATCCCCTTGGGGTTAATACCATTATCATCCTCATATGCATATGTATTCTTATCATTTTCTTATGTCGAGTACTCGGGTCTGTTTGTATCTTGATCGTTACGAGAATTGAGTCGAATTGAGTCGAATCGAGCTAAGATTGGAGGGTTTTGGAAGGAGATGGTGATGAAGATGTTTAAAGGAAAAACAATGATTAAAAGGGGAATTTAAAAGAAATGGTGAGGTGGGTTTTGTTAGTTGAACAATGGTTGTGTTCTTTTGCGCACATCAATCAACTTTCTTTGGCCTTTTATGGAAGTGTAATTAATCACAGCATTTATGGTTTCCATGTATAATGCGTACGCCTATGTTTCTCCCTCCATGCACCTCTATTTTCCCTGTCCTCTCTACGATTCAAAGACACAACCAAAAATAAAACATGTTCGTAGCTCACAACCTAAGCTACCTGCTAACTCTTCACACTGTCTTCAACAACAAAGTTGTAATTTTCTTGTGTTTGTTCTACATGAAAGGTGGTCCAAGCCCACCGCTAGTAAATATTGTCTGCTTTAGCTCGTTATAAATCGCTGGTAGCTTTATGGTTTTAAAACGCATTTATTAGAGAAAAGTTTTGTGATATCTCACATTGGTTGGGGAGGAGAACGAAACACTCTTTATAAGGGGTGAAAACCTCTCCCTAGCAGACGCGTTTTAAAACTTTGAAGGGAAGCTCGAAAGGGAAAGTCCAAAGGGGACAATATCTGCTAGCGGTGGACTTGGACCGTTACAGGTTTCCACACATTTATAAGGAATGCTTTGTTCCCCTCTTCAACTGATATAGGGTCTCACAGTACCATACATGATATTGCTCCAAGCTCTACTTAACTGATCGAGATTATACTCAATAAACATTTCGTATGTCAAATCTTCAGTAACGGTGAAATTACTTTACATAATGTTTGAATCCGTATCATAATCTATCTGCTTTAAAACTTTTGAGTTGATCGATGATTTGATTTTGAAGCCATAAACACCAATAGTTGATTGAAAATGGCAAATCAATATACAAAAAAACTTAGGCTACAATGGCTAAAAAGAAACCCTGAACTTTTGAACATATATATAAGAACAATGTTCCCTAAAACCCCATTATATATATATAGAGAGAAGAACATACTAAGAAGTAATGACATAGAAACCAACCCAAACCCCATTAGAACAAAATCAATCATGATCTTGTTCGACTTCCGAATAAGCTGGGTCCTCCTCTTCATCGAACCTGTGATGACGATGATGACAATGATGATGATGGCGATGACGATGATCGGGATTGTTATTAGCATTAGAATTATTGTAAGCAGCATGGCCATTGCCAAAGGCCTTGATATGGTCTTTAAGGGATCTCTTGTGCTTAAAATCAGAGCCACAAATGCAATACCAAAGCTTCCCACAATTCTTCTCATGAGTCCTCCAATCCCCTCTGACAGCAAAGGCTTTCCCACACTTCCTACACATGAACGGCTTGATCCCATGCTTGCGTTTGTAGTGAGTTTGAAGGGTTCTGAAGTCCTTCAAGGGCTTGGCTCGTGGATGGTCGATGTTGTTGCGGCACCCTGGCGAGCAGCAATAGCATGGCAGCCTAAGCATCCCTGTTGGCTGTGTGCCTCTTAATGATTCTGGCCCTCGCCTGTATTGCGAGCCATGCCCCCACATGTGCATCTATATCAAACAAACCAAATCGTTATCAAACAAAGCCTAAAACTTTATAAACAAAAACCTTTTTTTTTTTCTTATATTCGAAGCGGATTTAAACTTCAAACCTAAAAAAATGATGATTCTTACTCGGTCATACTCACGTTGGCCGATGTTGATTTGATTCAAAAGTCGAAAGGATTTAATTGATGAGTTCTTGTAATTCTCAAACGACAATGATTGTTTAAAAAAAACGAACGATTTAGGAGTTCCCATTAAAGAAAAATACAAACTTTTGCATAATTCCCTCTCATTTTGATGATTCTAGCACTCTTATATCATAAAGATCAAACTTTTAGAGTACCCATTAGAGAAAAATACAAACTTTAGCATAATTCCTTATCATTTTGATGTTTGTAGCACTCAAACATCATAAAGAACAAATTTTTGGAGTACCCATTAGAGAAAAATACGAACTTTTGATGTTTGTAGCACTCTAATATCATAAAGAACAAATTTTTGGAGTACCCATTAGAGAAAAATACAAGCTTTTGATGTTTGTAGCACTCTTATATCATAAAGATCAAATTTTTACAGAACCCATTTGAGAGAAAAGGAAGAAATTGAAGAAAAAAGAAAGAATTGTTCTTGAAATCAAGTGGGTAAGAGGGTATGGAATATAGAATAGGCAAAAGCATGTGTTTGTTTCCGGAGAAAGAAGGAGAAAATTTGGAGTAAAAAAGAAAGGAAAAAATTTGGAAGAAGAACAGCACAGAGTTCAAAGTAGTAAAGGGAGAGAGGGAGGGAGGCACAAAGAACATTGCCTGTGTTGTTCAATCACTTAAAGAAGCTACTCAGAGTTGGATCAGAAAAAGTGGAGACAGACATTAATTGAGTCAACAAATCCATGCAAAAACAAAAAAATTGGGTTTTTTTTGGGAGAATTAAGATCAAAGTTAGTGAAATTTTGAAGGTTACCTGCATGTTGTTATATCTATTGAAGGTTTTGAAACAAACAGGACAAGAGAATTGAGTAGGACCAATGAGGATTTGTGATGGCGTTGGGATCCAATATTGTCCTTTGTTGAGTCGGCTATTGCTTAAACATAGTCCACTAATGGCTGCTACTTCTTCTTCTTCTTCTTCTTCTAATTCGTGTTCTTCGTGTTCTTCGTCGTCTTCGTCCTCGTCTTCTTCCTCTTGATTTTGATTACTAGACAGCAAAAGGGTTGCCATTTCTGAGGCGCTAGGGCTTGGTAACCCTATGTGGAGTGCAACAGTCACCGAAACGTTGGCGGCCGCGGTGGCAGAGGAGGAGGAGGAAGAGGAGGAAAAATTTTGTTGGGGGTTGTTGTTTTGGGATGATCTGGTGGGGCTGAGGCGGAGGAGAGGGAGAGCTTGACGGAGAGGAGGAGAGGACGGCGGCGCGTGGGGGTGAGTGGGGAGGAAGTAGGGTGGAGGAGGAGGAGGAGGAGGATGAGGGTTTGGTGGAGAAGGGTTGAATTTGAAGAGATTTGTGAAGAAGTTAGTGGAAGGGTCATCCATGGAGGTGTGGGAAGGAAGGGGAAATAGTTCTGTTCTTTTCTTCTTTGTGGCTTTAATGGCGGAAGTGCTTTTAGAGAGAGAGAGAGAGAAGTGCTTTTGTAGAGAGAAGAAGATGACTGAAGGAAGTGGACGGTGGAGAGTGGGAGAGAGATTATGTGTGTGTGTATATATATATATATACACACAATAAGATCACCAAATTGAAGGGAAGGGAAGAAGATGGCATGGGCAAATGGGCGTGGAAGAATTTCCAATTATTAATTCTTTTTTTTTTTTTTTTGTAGGGTTTCGATCTGAATCGAGAATTCTCGAGGAATGTAACAGCTCAAGTCCACTCCTAGCAGATATAGATCGAGAATTCTCGAGAAATGTAACAGCTCAAGTCCACTCCTAGCAGATATAGTCTGCTTTGATCCGTTACATATCGTTACAAATTCAAAACGCGTCTAGTAGAGAGAGGTTTCCACGTCCTTGTAAAGAATGTTTCATTATTCTCTCCAACCAATGTGGGATCTCACACCGCGTCTATCAGGGAGACATTTCTACATCCTTGTAAACGCGTCTACTAGAGAGAGGTTTCCACGTTCTTATAAAAAATGTTTCATTCCCCTCTCCAACCAATGTAGGATCTCATACTCTACCCCTTTTGGGGACCAGCGTTCTCGATTGCACACCGCCTAGTCCTGGCTCTAATACCATTTATAACAACTCAAGTCCACCGTTAGCGGATATTGTTCGTTCAACCTCACGATTTTAAAACACGTCTATTAGAAATGTTTCGTTTCTCTCTCCGATCAATGTGAGATCTCATGAGGGAAGATTTCTAGTACTTCAGTAATACATATTCTCGTCTCTCGAAGCAATGATATTTCAAAAATTTAACCTAATTATTTATATTAGTTAATATTTTTGTTCCTTTAATAAATAAATATTACAATTTTTTTCAATTTTTGTATGAACAGAATCTGGTTGGAAAATGGCGTTAATGGCCGTTTATAGTTAATTGTCAGAGTTACCCACTTTGTATTTTTCATTTTTAAAATTACATTATTTAGAGGTGGGTAAAATAAATAATTTAATGACGTGTAATAATTTAATAATAAGATATCCCAAATATTAGATCAATCATAAAAGCACAAGCAATTATGTAATTTTATTTTACTTATGATGATAGCCACAATATTATTTACCATCAACTATGATTGTTACATTCATTATCAATATCATATTATATAGTTTTTTTTTTTTAACAATAATAATGTAATAGTTCGAGAGAGAGAAAAAAAAAGGAAAAATGAAAAACCTAGTCGTTGGCTCCTCGAGTAGACTCATTTCTTACATCTCTAGTCGTTCGACTTCTTCATCTCTCTCGTTTCTTCCATACCTATGCATCGAGTCCAGAACAAATAGACTTCACTCCTCCCAGTCCGATTAGCCATTATTGCACCATCGCCTCTTTGTTGTGACACTGTTCGACCTTCATATTGAGGTACGATTCTTCCTCTTGATTTTGGTCTCGCCTCCTACTTGTGATTGTCGATCGTGCTCGTTGGTGGGCGTCTTAAATTCACACGAAATAGTCTCATCTCTCCTGTTAGTCGCTCGTTGTGCATCAAATTGACTAATGTCGTGCTGCCTAGGAAGTTTTGGTACAATAACCGTCGACTTTATTGAATGTTTGACGTATTGATTAGTGATCCAAGTAACTTTTTGTTAGTTAATTGTACCACCATGGTCATAGGATAGATGACCTACGTTTTAGTTTCTCATCCCAAACTAAAGAACAAAGTTCTGATTGTGATCCCGAGATAGATGGTCAATACTTTGAGATCTGACCACAGGGTAGTTGATCAATGAGCGATTTAGGGTTACAAGATAGATGATCATATTTCTAGGATAGGTCGCAAACTAGACGACCTAGTTGTGAATGGTACTCCGATTTCTCAACTTACGTCACAATTTACTGTGTGTATTCAACTTGAGGAGGTAGTTACTTATCGAGTATTTTTAATAAAATCAACTTTTTAAAACATTTTTTTTAAGTAAAGACAATGACAGAGTGGGGGACGTGATGAAAAAGATTGTTGGTCGTACTGTGGGGTTTATGTCCCCGTGATTTTTACTTTACTTTCACATTTAAGAACTTTTCGACAGTTGTGAGCTGTATTTGCTTTAAAATGTCTCGTAAAATTACTTTGAAGATTGTAGTTTCAATTTGTATCTGTAAGTCTTAAATAGCTAACCCGAGCAAATTTCATTTATTTTAGTGACAATTCTAGTTGATCTAGATTTATAAGAGTCGGGTCATTACAAATAATTTATGTTGCCTAAATTTAAGGCTTCAATTTTTCGTTCGTATAATTTAAAGTGATTAATTTAATACCGTTTTTTTATTAGAATTTTATTTATAAAAGAAAAAATTTAAGAAAAGGTGATAATCATTTCATAGATATCAAAGAGTTCATACAATAATTGATGGATTTTCTTTTTGGTCAAATACTGTACATATTGCTCATGTATGTTTAATAATCATTTCATTTTTTTTTACTTTAAAAAATCAGGTAATTTTGTAATTATTCCCATTTTTATGTTTTTTACATTGCAAAAAATATAAAATTATGTCCCAATTCTAAATTTTATAATAATGTTTGTAAATTTGGATAATTTTATAGTAATTTCAATATTAAAAGCAAAACAAAAAAGGAAAGAAAAAAAAACTTGGCTAATATTTTTTTAATTATAGTATTTAAAAAATAAATAAATTGATCCTTAAAAATACCTAGTGACTCTGACATTCTCCAGGGACATGGTCATTCGGGTCTCTAGGGACATGGTCATTCGGGTCCTGTTGTTCATACATGACTCTTTTAGTCGAGAACATTATATAAATAATTATAATCAAGAATTATGGAGTGGGAGATCAAATTATCGACAGCAGTATAATAATTATACTGTCTGAGTTATGAACCCGAACACTTTTTAGTCGAGAACATTATATCTAAACTAGTTGAGTTATGCTCATGATAATAATATATATACAATCATGGAGTCAGAGGTCGAATTATCGACATTTGAAACCGTTATTATCCACTAAACAATACCCGAACAAGAAATTAACAACATGGGTTAAGGAAGTGGTTGAAAAAAGACAAATTAAGGAAGGTATCACCTTTTACATGCTTTTAATCCCAAAACCATAAACATCATTATATTTTGACTGAGTCCACGTGGCACATGCAAACCTAAAAAAATTATAAAAAAATGTCTTTCAACACGTGCACATCAGGTGCCTTATCCACCACCTTTATTAGATATACAATTAAATATTATATGTATTTCTGTTTAATTCATTTTACCAAAATATAATTATAAAAATTAAAAAAAAATAAATAAATAAAGCTAACTAAAGGCGATCATCATTATTGCATATCATGGTAAAGAAAAAGTAAAACTAAAGCTGCTCACTGATTATTTGCATTAATTTTTATGTTAAAAAAATTATTTATTTATTATATTTTCTTTGATATTATCAAATTCTTTACGCCATTTGTATGTGTGCCATAATCATCAAATTCTAGTTTCGTGATTCAATTCTGTTTCTTTTTCTTTTTTTTAACTTTTTATCTTTAAATTTTATGTTCGGTAATTAAATATAATATAATGTAGGTTAGCTAACCAAAACAAAATATTTTGAAAGTCGAAAACTATATTAGAATGTTAGCTAGCAACTTAACAAGTATTTGTTGTTTAGTAATACGTAACTCTGAGAACTCGAACAGTAAACCTAAACTAATTGAACTATGCTTAAATTAACGACTTACCTATTTAATAAATATTATAAAAATGTACTGCATTAAATAAGTAATTGAGAAGGTTCGATAACTATTTAGTATTTTATTTTTTTATGTTAGTTTTTTAATCCTCTTTTACATTTTTGGTCAAATTCAAATAAAAACTATATATATTTTTAATTTTCATTCTTTTGGCTTGAATTTTGAAGGAGGATAATAAAACACAAAAACTAATAAGTAGAAGTGACGGTTAGAGAGGGGAACTATGCATTTGTGGAAACCTCTCTCTAACCGAACAAAACTAACATGTAACAGAGGAAACCTCTCTATAATAGAACAGAACTAAGCACACCTGGAAACCTATCTCTAACTGAACAAAACTAAGCATACGTGGAAATCTCTACCTAACAGAATAAAACTAAGCATACGTGGAAATCTCTTCCTTACAGAATAAAACTAGACAGATGTAGAAATCTCTCCCTAACATAACAGAACTAAACATACGTGAAAACTGGAGCTGACAACGATACATAATAGACTAAAATAGATAATATTTGATTAACATAAGGTTCTATAGACTTTATATTTAAAAAAACTAAATATTAAATAATGGTGAAACTAGGACTACTATGTTCCCAACATTTTTATGGGTATATGAGAAGGTGTGGTCGGCTATCTGTAATCACCCTCCCCTGCTTCCATATCCTCAAAACCCTCCATTGTTTCAATATCCTCCAAAAACTAAGCAAACCCTCTTGTCCTCTCTTTCTCTCTCCTCTAATCTAGGTCACTATTCTCTCTCTCTCTCTCTCTCTCTCTCTCTGAAATTGTGGGGGGAAAAACCCAAAAAAAGAAAGGAAAAAGAGAAGAAAAGAAATGGTTAGAAAATTTCTGACAAAATCTATATGGAGAGAAAGAGGTCAAGAAAGAATTATGATATAATACAGAATCATCAAAAGGGGCTGTGCTGTGCTGTGCTGTGGTGGGAATAATGAGCATAAGAGAAACACAAGATACATAGATATGGCGAATGAAACAGTGCTTTTTATATATATATATATATATATATATATATATATATATACACATAAAGCTAACTATAAGCTAAAGCTATGACACCATTTCTTCATTTGCAGAAGAGAAAACACACTTTAGGGTTACGGATGTTGGATAATGAAAGTCTCACGTCCGCTAATTTAGGGAATGATCATGAGTTTATAATCAAAGAATACTCTCTCCATTGGTACGAGGCTTTTTAGGGAAGCTCAAAGCAAAGTCATGAGAACTTACACTCAAAGTAAACAATATCATATCATTATAGAGAGTCGTATTCATCTAAC